GCCGCGCCTCGCAAGCGGTGCCCTGCAGGAACTGCAGGAAGTTCTCCTCGATGGAGCCCTCCCGGCTCGGCAGCCGCAGGTCCTCCTCGGGGGGCTGCTTGAAGAAGCACGTAAGGAGCCGGCCCAGCTCGGCCCGGATCTGCCGGTTCAAGCACCCGTAGAAGAAGGGGTTGGAGGTAAAGCAGGAATAACCCAACCAAGTGACCACGGCCTCGGCCGCCGGCCCCGCCGAGGGCTGCGCGCTCAGCGCCGTGTAGAGGTGAAAGGTGAAATAGGGCAACCAACAGAAGAGGAACTGGCCCCCGACGGCCAGCAGGATGGCGGCCGCTTTGCCCCCGGCTCCGAACGTCCTTTGCGGCGTGGTCCGAGGGGCTCCGGATGTGGTGACCATGGTGGAGCGGCTGCTGAGCGACTCGGAGCGGCGCCGCGGGGTCTCCATCCAGGTGGGCAGCGGGCCGTGGTGCATGGCGGCCACGCGCGCCACCTTGAACATGCTGCAGTGCACCACGACGATGATGAGGAGGGGTAGGAGGAAGTAGAAAGCGGCGAAGAACACCACGAAGAACTTGCAGTAGGGACCGCGGCTCCATTGCAAGGAGCATCCGCGGGGGCTGCGGAGAGGGGGCCGGTCCGGTGATGCCCAACCCAAAACGGGGACCAAAGAGGTGGCGACGGCTTTGAGCCAGACGCCGACCAAGACGCAAGCCACCAAGCCCACGGTCATCCTCACCTCGTAGCGCATGGGGTGCACCACGTAGTAGTAGCGCTCCACGTTGATGGTGGAGATGGAGAGGATGCACATGGTGATGAAGCAGACGCTGAGGAACAGGTAGACGCGGCACATGGCATCGCCCAACACGGGGCTGTCGAACACGGCCGAGCCCGAGAGCATCTCCAACGGCATCAAGGTGAGGGCGGCCATGAAGTCCACCAGGCAGAGGTGGAAGACGAAGACGAACTTCCTCAGCGCCGGGGTCTTCACGATGACGGTCATGACGGCGGCGTTGCCCACGATGGCCGCCAGGTCCATGAGCAGCATGAAGAACAACCCCACCGACCTCGAAGCCACGTCCCTGGCTTTGGTGTCGGCTGTGCCATTGGGGGACATGGGGCTTGCGGAGGGTTGGAGCCCCCGCACCTCCCTAGAGCCATTCCAGGCCCATGGTGCTGGTTCCATCCTGGGCCACCACCATCACCAAGGGGAGCATCCTTGCGCTGGGCATTGCTGGATGAAGGGGGGGGGGTCACATCCTCGCTGGATTGGGGGATATGGGGTGCTCAGAGCACCCAAAGGTGCTGCCCAGCCCCACTCATCTCCCCACTGGGCACCTGTGGGGATGGGAGAGACATTGGGAAGGGGGCACAATCCTGGGGGGCTGAGTCCAGCTGTGACCCCCCAGCTACAGCCCACAGGGTTCCCTTCCATGACCCCCTTCCCCCCACCCAAACCCCTTTCTCAACAGCCTTATTCCGCCCCAAAATGACCAATTTGGGGGTGACCCCACCCGAAACTCCAATGTTTCAACCCAAAACACCCCAGTGGGGTACTGAGATCAGCCCCCCCCCATCTCCTCCCTTTGTGTACCAATGGCCATGCGTGACCCAAGCCTGGCCCAGCGGTGGGTGCTGCACCCCCAACGACCCAAAATGGGTGCTACCGGGGTGAGGGGGGACACACCCAGAACCCCCCCCATGGGTGGTGCTTCCCAAGAAGGGTGGGGGTCCCCATCTCCTGCATCCCATGGGGGGTTACTGTTGGAATGAGGGGGTTCCTGATGGAATTGGGGGGCTACTGATGGAATAGGGGCGTGCATCTAGCCCCCCCCCCCCCATATTCCTCCCCACCGGTTGGGGTCCGCTTCATGTCCCCCTTCATATTGCATCCCCCCCCCCCCAACCCCCGGGCATCGCCCCGGTTGGGGGGGGCTCGGCCGCGGCACTTACCGTGGGGGGGGGGGGGGCGGTCGGAGCGGGAGGGGCTCGGTTGTGCGGGGGGGGGGGGTCCCCGTCGGTGCGGGGATGCTCGGGGCCGGGCCGGAGCCGCTGCGGCGAGGGATGCTCTGCACCGAGGCTGCTGGGTCCTAGCGCCTCCCGCCAGCGCCGCGGTACCCCCGGCACAGCGTCTCCCCCATACACAAGGCGGGGGCGCTGTGGGGGGGGGGGTCTTAGACCGGCTGGAACCCCGTTTATTCCCACTGGGATAGGGGTAGAGGGTGGGCTTTGTCCCGTGGCCTGTGTTGCTTCAGGCCTCAGTTACCCCAGTCGCCCCATAGAGGGGGCACTGGAAAGGGGGTGCTGCACTCGGGAGCTGTGGGGGGAGCAAAGAGGGGGTTTGGGGTGATGGGGGGCAGGGTGAAGGCACCCTGGGGTGGGAATGGGGGGGGGGCAGGAGGCAGATCCACAGTGGGGGGGCACAGAGTGGGGCTGTGGGGGGTGCAAGGGGATGCTCAGGGCTGGGGGGGGACCGCTCAGAGAGGCCGCAGGACCCCCAAGCTCTGCCCATCCCCAACCCAGTGCCCCCTTCCCTTGCTCCCAGTTCCTCAATGGGGCAACTGGGATGGGGGCAGCTCCCCACCACCACCACCATGCTCCGTGCCTCAGCTTCCCCAGGGCACAGCCATTCGCTTCCAATGGGGATCCCCATCTCCCCCAGGGACGGGCATCCCCTTAAATCCCTATGGAGGCTGTGAGCTTCCTCCCCGCATCGCCTTGCTCCCTGTCCCACGGGAGCGATGGTACCCAGCGGGGTACCCAACCCGCCCCATGGGGCAGCCGGAGCTGAGCGTGGGATCGACCCTGCTCCATGGGGCGGGGTGGGGGGAGCCCCCTGTGCTGATGACTCCTGTGGGCATCAGAATCCATGAGGATACCAAACCCTGGGTGCCCCCACCCCACTGTTCCCTTCCTCCCCCCTTTGGGTGCAGGCAGGGGTTTGGCCACGCTGACCCCCAATCTTTGAGGGTGCCTCACAATGGGGAGGTGCGGAGCCACCCCCCTGCACCCCATGGATCAGGAGGGTCATGATGTGAGGAGCATCAACCGAAGCATCCTGCCCCCCCCACCCTGGGATGCTGCCTTGGCTTATGGTGTCTTGGCACCCTAGCCCCCTGCACCCCACTATCACAGCACCCTACATACCAGCAGCCTGGTACTGAGCACCCCAGCCCTTTGGGACACCCATAACCCAGTACCAAAGCACCCAGCACATCTGGCTGGCCAGGCCCACAGGGTAAGCGTGTTTGCACATGTGCATGTGTGCACATACATGTATAATGTGTGTGTGGCTGACTGCCCCCCCCTCCCATGCACACATCTGGCATGTGCATCCATGTGCAGGTACACACATGTAAAGACGCGTGTTACCATTGGTGCACCCATGTGTACGTGGTGCATGCGTGTGTGCACATGTCTCTAGCATGTGTATGTGTGTGTGCATGCATCACGTGCATACCTGCATGCGTGTGCGTGCCGACACGCGTGTTGCACACCCATCCCTGTGGGGACACGGGGGGCACCGGCGGGTGCTGCGCAGGGATTAGCACCGGATTAAACGGAGAAACCGAGGACGAGCAAAGGACACGATTCCCGGCAGCTGGAAATGGGGTGGGACAACGGCACCGGGAACACACACAGGGTGTGAGGGGCACCCTGGGGGTGCGCTGCTCCCTGTCACCCCTTAATTACTGTGTGTGTGCCCCCCCCCCCCAAAAGAGCTGCATCATCCCCGGCTCCGGTCCCTCTGACCTTGGCCCCAAACCGGCACTGATGGATCCCGGCTATAGAACGACCGGAGGCAGCGATGGGTGCAGGGGGGGCAGCACCCAGGGGTGCCCTCCCGGGTGGGTCGGTACCAACACACTGGGGATTTGGGATGAGGATGAGGATGGTGTGGGGATAGGGCAGGAGATGGGGATGGGAGGGTGGGAGATGAGGATGAAGGTGGGGACAGGGATGGGGATGGAGTGGGGTGGGGATGGATTGGTGGAGATGAGGATTAAGATGGGGATGGGATGGGGATGACACAGAAGCGAGATAAGGATGAGGATGGAGATGGGGTGGGGGTAGAGGGCACGGATGAGGATGAGGTTGACGTGACATGGGATGGGATTAGGATAAAGTTGAGGATGTAATGGGGATGAGATAAAATGGGATGGAGATGGAGATGGGCTGGGAATGAGGATGGGGATGTGGTGGGGATGCGATGGGGATAAGGATGAAGGGATGGAAATGGGATGGGATTGGGATGGGGGGGTCGGCTCCTCCAGGGTCTCTCTCGGGCCACCAGGGGTTAACCGGGCTCCGCCGCCATTGGTGGGGGGCGCCGCCGCGGCAGCCAATGGGGACGGGCCGTGCCCGCGGTGCGCCGCGGCGGGGCCGCCCCCAGACCCTGTCCCGGGGCCGCGGGTGCGCGCTGCAGACGGCGCGGGGCGACTCGGCCCGCTCGGCTCCGGTTCGGCTCCGTTCGGCTCCCATTGGCCCGGTTCGGCTTCTCTCGGCTCCCATCGGCCTGGCTCGGACCGTTCGCTTCGCCTCGCATCGCCTCGGCCCGGCCTGCTTCGGCGCGGCCCGTTCGTGTCGGTTCGGGCCCGCTCGGCTCGGTTCGGCTCCACTCGGCTCGGTTCGACCCCGCTCCTCCAGTACCGGTACCAGGCCCCGGTAACGCCTCTGTTGGGAGGGGGTGTGACCGTGAGCATCCTCCCGAGGGCACGGTCCGCTGCAGCACCGGCACCGCGGGGGGGGGGGGGAGGCGGGAGGGGACCGGGGAGCGGTGGGGGGGGCACAAAGTGACACGGGGTGGCCAAAGCCACCGGCACCGGGCGAGCAGCGGGACCGGTAACGCCATGACACCGGGTGACAGTGACAGCCCGCGCGGTGACACCGGGTGACCAAAGCCACCACCCCACAGCCCATGCTGTGACACCGGCTGAGCAGCAGGCCCGGCGCACACCGTGACAGCGGGTGTCCGCATCCACCCCGTGCAAACGCACCCGGTGCCAGCGATGCCGCATCCTCACCGTGACCCCATGGCCGGTACCGGCGCCTCGGGGCTGCTCCTGTGCGTGGCTCTGGTGGCGGCGGCGGCACCGCGGGGTGCGTGGTGCGGGAGCTGCCCCCCGCGCTGCATCTGCGCCTCCAACATCCTGAGCTGCTCGCAGGCGGTGCTGAGCGCGGTGCCGGCGCCGCTGCCGCGCTTCACGGCCGTGCTGGACCTGAGCCACAACAACGTGAGCCGGCTGCGGGCCGACTGGGCCCCGGGGCGCTTGGCGCACCTCCACGCACTGCTGCTCAGCCACAACGGGCTCTCCTTCGTGTCCACCGAAGCCTTCACCCACGTCCCTCACCTGCGCCACTTGGACCTGTCCTCCAACCGCCTGCGTGCGCTGGAGGAGAACCTCTTCAGCGACCTCGCCGAGCTCGAGGTGCTGCTCCTCTACAACAACGAGATCTCCACCGTGGACCGCACCGCCTTCGAGAACCTCAACCGCCTGCGCAAGCTCTACCTGGGCCAGAACCGCATCGCCCGCTTCCCGCTGGAGCTGCTCCGCGACGGCAGCCGCCTGCCCCAGCTCGCTTTGCTCGACCTCTCGGCCAACCGCCTCCGCCATGTGCCCGTGGGCGAGCTGCAGGCGCTGCCCGCCTGGCTCCGCGACCGCCTCTACCTACACGGCAACCCCTTGGCCTGCGACTGCGCCCTCTTCCAGCTCATGGCCCGCGGCCGCCGCCGCCGTCTCAGCGCCGTCGTGGACTTCCAAGAGGAGCTGCGCTGCGCGCTCCCATCCTCCCCGGTACCCGTGGGCATCCTGGCGCTGGCCGGCCGGGCGCCGCTCAACTGCAGCGAGGCGCGGGAGGCGGTGCTGGAGGCGCACGTCGGGGACACGGTGATGCTGAGCTGCGACACGCGGGTGCGCGGGGCGCGCAGCCGGCACTGGGTGACGCCCGGAGGGGAACGGGTGCTGCAGGAAGCGGGCAACGGGAGCGCGGTGCTGCTGGCCAACGGCAGCCTGCAGGTGCGGGCGCTGCGGGCTGAGGATGCGGGGATGTACGCGTGTTGGGTGGCGGGGCCGGTGCTCAACGAGACGCTCTACGTGGAGCTGTTGGTGCATAACTTCACCCTGCACGGGCCCCATGATACCCTCAACACCGCCTACACCACGCTGGTGGGCTGCATCCTCAGCGTGGTGCTGGTGCTCATCTACCTGTACCTCACCCCGTGCCGCTGCTGCTGCTGCCGCGGGGGCACCGACAAAGCCCCCCCGCCCCGCGATGACAGCATCAACTCCTCGGTGCTCAGCGCGACCCCGAACCACGCCGCCGGGGAGCCCGGGAGGTCCCGCTCCGCATCCGGGGCCAGCGTGGGGCAGAACGGGAGGTTCAAAGCGGGGGGGACACCGCAAGGCCCCCCCCGCCATGGCCCCAGGGCACAGAGGAAGGTGTCGGATCCGGACTCGGTCAGCTCCGTCTTCTCCGACACCCCCATTGTGGTGTAGAAAGATGGGGGGGGGGGCACCCCATGTCCAGCCCCCTCCCATCACCCCCCCCCCTCCATTCAATGGATGCGCTGCAGGTGGGGGGGGGGCAGCCAAGACCCCCATTGCCTCCCCAGGACTCAGTCATCCCCCCCCTGGCCTCCATGGGACCATAAGGGACAATGGGGGGGGGGGCTCTGGGGGTAGCACCAGCACCCCCCCTGCATGTGCATTGCAAAGCATGAGCCCCCCCCCCCCCCCGGCCAGCTCTAGGGGGGGCACATCACTCCCAACACCCCCCCCCAATGCAACCCACAGCCACAAGCAGAGCCCCCCCACTGCAGAGAGGGGGACCCCACGCACCCCCCGGCCTGTGCCCCCCCCCCATGTCACCCCCCCCCCCCAATGCCTTGGCCACAATAAATGTGTTTCCCACCATGTCTGGGCTACCTGCGGATTGGGGGGGGCAAATTGGGGTCCTGGCGCTGGGGGGGGGTGGGGTAGGAACAGGGGGACCCCCCCCCTGTGTGCAGGGTCAGGCTGAGTCCTGCTGACACCCCAATCCCTATCTGGGATGTATGGGGGAGAAGGGGGGGGTCACCCCAGTGCTCACCCCCCCACTGATCTCCTCCCAGTACCACACTGACCCCCCCGAGCATCCCATTGCTGCCACTGCCCTCAATGAACCCCCCCCTCCAGCAGCCCATTGACCCCCACTGCCCCATAGGGTCCCCATGGTGTTGGGGGACCCCCATCCCCTTCCCCTTTAACCCATAGACACCCCTATCCCTGCAGACACCGCATCCCTGCCCCACAGCATCACCGGGGTCCCCCATCCTCGCTCTGCCCTCACCAACACCCCCCCATTCCCCAACCCCACACAGTGACCCCCAGAACTCCCCCCCCCGCCCCCCATACTTCTCAGCTTCTCTTTTTTTTCTTTCTTTTTCTTTCTTTTTCTAAAAAAGAAACAAAAAACAGCAATAATCATTCTTATAAATAGGGTGGCCTTTGGTGGCCTTTGGTGGCCATTGGTGGCCTTTGGTGGCCTTTGGTGGCCATTGGTGGCCATTGGTGGCCATTGGTGGCCATTGGTGGCAGTCCCATGCCGGGCCCCCCCCTGCGCCCGGGGGCCGGTTTTAGCAGCAAGAGAACAGAACTGAGTCTTGAGGTATTTGGCTGAGGTCGGTGTTTCCCTTGGGGGGGGGGGGGGGTTCTTGGGGGGTCTTTCCCCCCCCCCTCAATTCCATCGGCTCCCAGTGCAGGACGTGGGGTGGCCCCGGTGGCCTCCTGTTAATGGGCTTTGGACTGTGGAGAGGAGAGGGGGCTGGGTGAGCCCTGGCCATGGGGAGACCCCTGCCCATGGGGTCCCCATGGTGGTGATGGGGTCCCTAAAGGGAGCATCGGCCACCATGGAGGACCGTGGTGCCCCCCCACCCCCCCCATCACAAAGGTCTCCATCCCATCCGCAAGTGGGGTGAGGGGGACCCGCAGCATCCAGCACCCAGAAGCGGGATGTGGGGACCCCCACAGCATCTCCCAACAGGGAGCAAAGTGTCCCATGGGGTCCTCCCACTAAGGACACGTCTCCATGGTGACCACAGGGCGTCCCTCAGCATCCCCAAGCCAGGGCAGGGGGTCCCAGAGGGTCCCCATGGGATGTGGGTGCCCCCCCCCCCCAGGACCAGGGTGCCCCCGCAGCCCCCAGCCCTAGGAGAAGATGGGTCCCCATTTCCCGCCAGCCACTCCCCAGCATCACCCCAAACACCCACTTCCCCCTGCCCCCCATCCCAATATAGACCCCCATCTCAATAGGGTCCCCCTATCCCAACAGAGACCTCCCCCCAGCTAACAGGGACCCTCTCATGTCCATAGAGGCCCCTGTACACCAACAGGCCCCCCCCATCTCAACAGGGCCCCCCCATCTCTATAGGGACCCCCCATCCCAATATGGACCCCCTCATCTCAATAGGATCCCCCTCCAACCCAACAGAGACCTCCCCCCACCTCCATAGGGGCCCCTGTATCCCAACAGGGCCCCCCATCTCAACAGGGTCCCCTTATCTCTATAAGGACCCCCCCATCCCAATATAGACCTGCTCATCTCAATAGGGAACCCCCCATCCCAACAGGACCCCCCATCTCAATAGAGACCCCTTTATCTCTATAGGGACCCCCCATCTCAACAGGGCCCCCCTATCTCTATAGGGACCCCCCATCTCAACAGGACCCCCTTATCTCTATAGGGACTCCCCCATCCCAACAGGACCCCCCCATCCCAACAGGACCCCCTTATCTCTATAGGGGCCCCCCATCCCAACAGGACCCCCTTATCTCTATAGGGTTCCCCCCCATCCCAACAGGGACCCCTTTACCTCTATAGGGACCCACCCATCCCAACAGGGACCCCTTTATCTCCATAGTGACCCCCCATCCCAACAGGGACCCCTTTATCTCCATAGTGACCCCCCATCCCAACAGGGACCCCTTTATCTCCATAGTGATCCCCCCATCTCAACAGGGATCCCTTTATCTCTATATGGACCCCCCCATCCCAAGAGGAACCCCTTTATAGGGACCCCCCCATCCCAACAGGGACCCCTTTATCTCTATAGTGACCCCCCCCATCCCAACAGGGACCCCTTTATCTCTATATGGACCCTCCCATCCCCACAGGGACCCCTTTATCTCTACAGTGACCCCCATCCCAACAGGGACCCCTTTATCTCCATAGTGACTCCCCCATCCCAACAGGGACCCCTTTATCTCTATAGTGACCCCCCCCATCCCAACAGGGACCCCTTTATCTCTATGGGCCCCCCCCCACCTCAACAGAGGCCCCCTCCCCAGCGCTACCTTCAGGCCGCTCCGCTTCTCCTCGAAGCCCGGGGGGGTCCCCACCTTCTTCCTCCGCACGGACCCCCCCGGGCCGGGATGGGGTGGGGGTGGGGGGGTCTCTGGCCTTCCCCTGCCCCCCCTGCAGTAGGTACCCGCGTTCTTCCTCTTCTTCACCTCCTCCTCGGCCACGCAGCGTGGGTGGGGGGGGGCCCGCTCCAGCCGCTTGGCCCGGGCTGTACCATTGAGGACGGGGGCGGCTCCTTTCGTCTTGCCGGGGGGGGCCGAGCTTTGCGCTTTGCTTTGGAGCTCCCCCCCCCCCGTGCCCATCATCATCCCCATCCCCATCATCCCCATCATCCCCGTCCCGTCCCCCCCCGCGCAGGTCCGTTTGTAGGGGGGTCCCCCCCCCCCCTCGCTCAGCGGCGGTTTCCACTTGCGGGGTTCGGGGTCGCGGCATTCCCGAGCTGGGGCAGCGTTCCCGGCCCTGCCGGCCGGCAGTTGGCTGAAGGAGGGCGAGGGGGTGTTGGCGGGCAGCGGGGAGGTGATGGAGCGGCTGCAGCCCCCCCCCTCGGGCTGGCTGCAGGCGGCAGCGGCGTGCGGGGACCCCCCCGGCGAGAGCAGCGTGGGAGGGAGGCGGGGGGGGGGAACGGGGGTGGGGATGGGGAGGAGAGGGGGGGAGCTGGGGGGGGCCGGGGGGGGGTCGGCGGCGGGGGGGATCTTCCTGTGGGAGGGAGAGGAGGGGTGAAGGGGGAGCCACAGATGCCGGATGCCGGCATTGGTACCCCCCAGGTTTTAGGGGGGGTGGGGGGGGAGAGTGATGGGATCCCCCCACCCCCCAAAATCCTCACTTGGGCCCTGATCCCCTTTTCTCCTCCAATGCAGGTGAAGGGGATGAGATGGGACCCCCCCGAATCACTGCTCCAAGCATTGTCCCCCCCTATTCCAGATGGGGAGGGGTGAAATGCGACCCCCCCAAATCCCTGCTCCCAGCGTTGTCCCCCCCTATTCCAGATGGGGAGGGGTGAGATGGGACCCCCCCTATACCCCTACTCCGGTCCCTGACCCCTCAATCCCAATTGGAAAGGGGCAATACAGGAACCCCCAAATCCCTGCTCCCAGCATTGTTCCCCCTATTCCAGATGGGGAGGGGTGAAATGGGACCCCCCCAAACCCCTAACTCCAGCCCCTGACCCCTCAACCCCAATGGAAAGGGGCAATACGGGAACCTCCAAATCCCTGCTCCCACCCCTGAACCCCCCCATATCCCCTTAACTCAGATGGGGAGGGAGGGATGAGATGCCCCCCCCCCCAATTCCCACTCCAGTCCCCAATCCCCCCCCCCCAGTTCACATGGGAAGGCTGAGACACGCCCCCCCCCATCCCTCCTCCCATCACTACCCCCACATCCCCTCCTATTCCAGATGGGGAGGGCTGAGATGGGACCCCCACATCCACGCCCCCATCCTTGCCCCCCCCACCTCCACATGTGGGAGCTGAGGTGCCGCTCCAGCATGGAGCCCAGCGCCGCGCAGAACCGGTCCAGCCGCCGGTTGAACACGTAACAGCCGGGGCTCACCAAGCGGCTCCCGAAGGTGCAGAACTGGGGGGGGGGAGACACATGGACACGGTCAGTGACCCCCTCTCCCCAAATCCCTGTTGCTAACTGTGAACATCCAAGTCAATTCCCAGTTCAACCGGATGGGGATGGAGATGGGAGCAGACAGGGATGGAGATGGGAGCAGATAGGGATAGAGATGGGGAGTAGCCAGGGATGGAGATGGGAGCAGCCAGGGATGAAGATGGGAGCAGAAAGGGATGGAGATGGGGACAGCCAGGGATGGAGATGGGAGCAGACAGGGATAGAGATGGGGAGCAGACAGGGATGGAGATGGGAGCAGATGCGGATGGAGATGGGAGCAGAAAGGGATGGAGATGGGAGCAGAAAGGATGGAGATGGGAGCAGAAAGGGATGGAGATGGGAGCAGAAAGGATGGAGATGGGGACCAGCCAGGGATGGAGATGAGAGCAGCCAGGGATGGAGATGGGAGCAGAAAGGATGGAGATGGAAGCAGACAGGGGTGGAAACTGGGAGCAGACAGGGATGGAGATGGGACCAGCCAGGGATGGAGATGGGACCCCTTAAATCCCTCCCATCTTGGACCCCGTCAATTCAGATAAGAGGGGCTGAGACGGACCCCCCTCAAGTCCCCACTCCAGTCCCTGGGTCCCCAAATCCCCCCCA